TAGGAGAGATGAAGAAAACTATAAGCCAAAAGGAAGTTTCCATTAGCTGGCTGGCCTAGATATTACTAGATACTAGCTACATTGTTTTTCAAAATTTGTTCTGCTTCAGAATCATGTAAAGGGACTAATAATAGGTGGTTCCTTAAAGTCATAGTTTGAATAAGGGTTTAGGTGATTGATGCTTCTGTCTCCAGGGAATTGTAGCATCACATTTTGGCAACCACTTCACCTGAGTTACTGCTGAACTACCAAGAATATCAGAATGGTAAGGATTTAAGTGATGTAGTTATAAAAATAGCTTTTGTGGGATAACATAGTAAGGAGTAAAAGCTGACTAGTAACACTGGGGATGTTTAGTATCAGGTCACCTGAGTTTGCAGTTGACTCAAGTAGTTAGTGACTTTTTCTGTTAAGAGTAAGAGTAGATATTGGCACCAGCAGTTCATGCTTCTAATCCTAACTACTCAGGAGGCTGGGACCTGGGGGATAGAGGTTTGAATCCAGCCTGGATAAAAATGTCTGAGAGAGACTCTTTTTCTATTAACTGCCTGGGCTGGAGGTAGCAATGTGTCTGCAGAGCACCAGCCATGAGTAAGCAAGCCCAACAAAGGAGCATGAGGTCCTCAAGTTCAAACCCTGATACTGACCAAGAAAAAGAAGTGGTGAGGTGTACGCCGGGCGCCGGTGGCTCACGTCTATAATCCTAGCTACTCGGGAGGCTGAAATCTGAGGATCTCGGTTCAAAGCCAGCCCAGGCAGAAATATCCGTGGGACTCTTATCTCCAATAAACCACTAGAAAACCAGAAGTGGCACTGAGGCTCAAGTGGTAGAGTGCTTGCCTTGAGCTGAAGAGCTGAGGGACAGTGCCCAAGCCCAGAGTTCAAGCCCCACGACCGACAACAACAACAAAAAAAGTGATTAGGAGCCATTATCAGCCTATCAATATGGTGGCAACTTTATGATCTGCCTTCAAGCCCCATCTTTCATTTTATTTATTTGTATGCTTGTTATTGTTCATCATTATTTTTAGCTTAAATATTTATGAAACTAGTAATTTGGGGATACAAAAATGATATTAAAAAGTGTTCTGAAGTAGATTGTTACTGCTTGATAGTTTGGTGGAATAGGAAGATGGCTGTTAGTGTCTCTTGTTTCAGGAAATTTTAAGATAGAAGAACTAAAAGCTTAGGGTCCTGATCTGATCTGATTGATTACAGAGTATTTCTCATGGAGCAAATGAGGACAACTCTGTTATTTTCGTTTGGGGAGATTTTGGAAGAATCATTAATTCAGTATCTACAGAAGGAAAGGTTTCTTTTTGTCTTCCCCTCTTATCCCCCTCCCCCACCTCCTGCAGACACACTTGCTACATATAAAAGCCAGTCTCATGAGCCAAAGTGCCACTTCCGCCTTTTTCTGTTTATGTGGTGCTGAGGAATCAAACCTAGGGCCTCATGCATGTAAGGCAAACACCCTACCACTGAGCCACCTTCCCAGCCCCTCTCATGTTCTAATTTCAAACTTGGAACCCTTTTCCTGTTTCAGCCTAAGTGCTGGAATTGTAATGGGGATTGAACCCAGGACCTTGTGCTTCCCTCAGCCAGACTCTACTTAGTTTCACCCTCTCCCCTCCAGCCAGGCCTCCAAACCCCATCTCATTCTTTTTTGGGGGGTCAGTCATGGGGCTTGAACTCTGGGCTTGGGGCATTGCCCCTGAGCTCTTCAGCTCAAGGTAAGTAGTCTACCACTTGAGCCACAGCACCACTTCTGGTTTTCTAGTGGTTTACTGGAGAGTCTCACAGACTTTCCTGCCTGGGCTGGCTTTGAACCGTGATCCTCAGATCTCAGCCTCCTGAGTAGCTAGTATTACAGGTGTGAGCCACCGGTGCCCAGCTTGTTCATACTTTTTAAATGGCCAAAAAATCTTTGGGCAGGATGGACCTCTTTAAATTAATGCTACAAATTAATACTGCAAAGTTAACACTAAAAATTTGTAGTATTTCCCCAGTAAGTTATATTACCCTGTCACTTTCAGGCTTTACTGCTGAAATGTTTTTGTATGGTGGTGTTATACCTTAGCCCAGACTTAACATGTGTCAATATGAGTTAACACGTATTAAGCAACTTCTTATTATCTATTCTGAGCAAAATAAGAGGAGTCAAAGAAAGCATTCTGAAACATACTTGAGGATGTGGTGGGAAGAGGGTAGAATTCTTTTTCCCCCATCTTTCTTCTTTCTTCCTTACACAGTTAAGTGAATAGAGACATTGAGAAAAGATACTTTTGTTTCTCTAGGTTCACAATTTTTTTTTATCAGCATTTTGAAACCAGATACTACATGCTTTTCATGCTGTCATATTGGTTATTTATTTACTTATTTATTTATGTATGTATGTATTTATGTATTTATGCCTGTCCTTGGGCTTGAACTCAGGGCTTGAGTGCTGTCCCTGAGCTTTTTTGCTAGCTTTGAAATATGATCTTCAGATCTCAGCCTTCTGAGTAGCTAAGATGATAGGTAAAAGCTACCAGCATCTGGTTTACATATTTTATTTTTTTGTCGGTCGTGGATCTTGAACTCTGGGCCTGGGCACTGTCCCTCAGCTCTTCAGCTCAAGGCGAGTGCTCTATCACTTGAGCCACAGCACCACTTCCAGCTTTTTCTGTTTAGGTGGTACTGAGGAATCGAACCCAAGACCTCATGCGTGCAGGGCAAGCACTCTACCACTGAGCCACCTTCCCAGCCCATGGTTTACATACTTTAAAAAAAGTAAATTGTGAAACCTTGTAGACTTTTAGAACTTTATTGAGAAATAATTATAGTAACTTTTTTTTGTTTTGTTTTTACCAGTCCTGTGGCTTGAATGCAGGACCTGGGCACTGTCCCTGAGCTTCTTTTGCTCAAGGCTAGTGCTCTACCACTTGAGCCATAGCCCATTTTCAGCTTTTTCTGTGTATGTGGTACTGAGGAATCAAGCCCAGGGCTTCATGCATGCTAGGCAAGCACTCTACCACTATGCCACATTCCCAGCCACTTGTGACTTTTTTTAGGGGGTGCTAACACTGGAGTTTGAATACAAGGTTTTATGCTTGCTAGGCAGGCACTATTATCATTTAAGACACAAAATAGAGTGTTGGGTTTTGCTAAGGTGCGCCAGGATTGAAATTTTGAATAGTTAAAATGATATACCACCACTCTTAGCTTTGTTAGCTGAGGTAAGGTCTAACTTTTTGCTGGGCATAGTCTCAAACCGCAGTGCCTGCCTCCCAGCAGAGGAGGGATAATTAGTGTCACTCACGATGCCCAAACTCACAGTAACTTGCACATATTTAAAGCATATGATTTGATATGATTTTGACAGATGTATACTTTGAAACCACCATTGCATTAAACATGACAATTTACGTTTTCATTATCTCTAAGAAGTTCTTGTGTTTCTGTGTAATGAATTCACTGATCTGATATTCTTGCTTCAAAGTAAATTAATATTTTCTAAAATTTTAAGTGATAGAATGTTAGTCCTATAAAGCCTCCTTTCTCAAAACCTTTATTCCTTTAGCAGCTGTTTATTGAATAATATCTTCTGTGTGCTAGACATCAGGATAATGCTCTGGTGTAGTAATCTATCCACTTAATTTCATCTTGTTGTAAATTTTTCCTCAAAATATCCCTTACTTTCCACCCAAGAAATCAGTTAACAACCTGGCTCAGAAGGGAGAATCTATACTCACCTAACTAAATTCATTAGGTGGTGCATACCTGTAATCCCAGCTGCCCACGGGTGATAGAAGGAGAGGGTTTCTGATTTCTCTTAGTATAATTATCCTGAAGTTTATTCCTGTTTCTCATATCAATATTATATTCTTTTTAATTGCTGAATAGTGCCCTTCTTTGGTTGTTCTACAATTTGTTTATTTACTTATTTATATACTTCGGCTTGGATTATTTCAGTTTGGGATGTTATCAGTAAATATGTGAGTATTTATGTACATGTCTGAGTGTGGTCATGTGCTTTCAATTTTTTTCTTAAATATCTAGATATAAACATTGGGTCATGTGCTAAATGTATGTTTATCTTAAACTGCCAAACTCATTTCCTGAGTTGGACCATTTTCCTCTTATTCTGGAAAATGGTGTAGTTGCTTTTTGAGCTTTTGTACAGGTATGTTCTAAGGGGTACATACACCTGGAGTTATCTATGTCATGGGGTCTCAATCTTACCTCAGTTCATATTTCCTACATTATTTATGAAATTGAACTCTATATAGATTACCTGGGTAAGTATTTACTTACTACTCATATCTCTTTTCCTCCTCTTTATTGAATTGTCTGACTTCAGCAGTTGAGTTGTAGGAGTTCTTATGTTTTAGATTCATGTATTTTTTTCAAGTTCTTACACATTTTGCCCATAGTTTTATTAGTTGATACCTGTTTGTTTTTAATGAGACTTCTTTATCATTTTATTTTCTATTTGATTCTTCAGGAATTAAATATCTTCAGTTCTTTGTAGCCATTGTACAAAAAAGCATATGCTGAAAATTATAGAGTAGGGTTGTTCTGCATTAAGTTATTAGTGTTTTAATAGCACATTATTTCTGATTCTAGTATTTGTTTTGTTTGATGTTTAGTTTAAGGACCCTTAAAATTGCAGTTGATTAAGGTTGTGGTTTAGGGATAAGGGAACTGAAGTTATATAGGTTATATAACTATGCTAATATTTTATAGTTCATAATTGGGGGAGGACCAAAAAGACTTGCGCTCCTTTCAAACTTTGGTTCACTGTTCATTTCCCTAAGAAGTGCTCTTTCTGATTCTATTGTGTAAACTATACTCCATACTTCAATATAATAAATTTGGTTCCTGAATATCTGCTAATTCCTCATTGAAAGCAGCATTATTAAAATTAGTAGGTAGGTTAGCTTTCTGAAAGAATAAAAATTTCCTTAAATTTCATCAAAATACTGAACTTAACACTTGTTTTTAAAATTCTTTCCAAGGTCTGTAAACAGATTTGGCTAGGATTATTTGATGATAGATCTTCAGCAATTCCAGACTTCAGGGATCCACAAAAAGTGAAAGAGTTTCTACAAGAAAAATATGAAAAGAAAAGATGGTGAGTGAATAGTTTGTGTGTAGAAGAGTTGACTCTCCCCAAATTACAGTAACTATGGGTAAAATAATCTGACATGATGAAGGAAAGGAGACAGGCAGAAAGGAAAAAAAAAAGTAAATAGGTTGTCCTTTTATTAGATTGGGTTTCTAAAAACCTTACTTGCATTTTATCTTATTTATACCTACTATTAGCCTTTCATTATACCAGGACTTCTGCGTTTTATTTTGTTTTGTTTTCTCTTTAAACAAGATCCTTTCTCTAAGCCTTCCTGTTAGTTTCTATAAACATTGTTAGCCCTATAAAGCCTCCTTTCTCAAAACCTTTATTCCTTTAGCCACTAATTTATTGAATGATATCTTCTGTGTTCTGGGCAGCAGGATAGGTGATACATCCACTGGATTGCATCTTTTAGTAAGTTCTTTGTCAAATATTCCTGACTTCCCACCCACGAAATCAGCTAACAACCTGGCTGAGAAGGGAGAATTTATATTTGCCTAACTAAATTCTTCAGGTGGTGCATGCCTGTAATCCCAGCTGCTCAGGAGGCTTGAAAGTTTGAAGCCAGCTTGGGTTTAGTCAAACCCTGTCTCAAAATAAAATAATAATAATAATCATTATCATCATCCCTGGCGATGAAGCCATGTGATAGAATACTTGCTTAGCATGCGCAAAGCCCTGTATTCCATTTCCAGTTATTCCTTAGTCTCCCAAAGAAAATCCAATAGATTGTACACTAAGGTGGTATATCCTTTAAATCAGAACAAGGATTAGACCAGTAAGAGCCTGCATTGCAAAACAGCATTTTGCTTCTCTCTCAGAATGAATGGAGACCAGAAACTGAATGTTTATGCCGAGAAAAAGCAGGATTTCATCCAACCCTTCTCCCAGATTTCAAGGAGCTGACTTGAGGGTGAGATAAGGCACTCAGAGACAGGAGATACCATTGCCCAGCTTAAGGAAGTCCTAGCGTACAGTGCCATTGGAGGCAAGTTCACCTGAGGTTTGTCAGTGCTGGTAGCATTCCGGGAGTTGGTGGATGCAAGAAATTAGGATGTTGACAGCTCCAGCAGGCCCTGACTGTGGGCTGGTGTGTGGAACTGCTGGAAGTTTTCTTCCTGGTGTCACATCACATCATAGACTCTTCCTTACCTGCCAGGAGCAGATCTGCAGGTATAAGAAGCCATGCATAATTTGGATGCTTCTTGAAGCATGTGTCTACTACCTGCTCAAGTTCTACTGCTGGGAGCGGCCCTCCTACCTGAACCTGATCTAGCTCTTCCTTCAGAGTTCCTACCGAGATTGGCAGACTCTGGACCTCATCATAGCTCCCCAGATCCATGTGGATCTTGACAGATGCACTGGAAAATGGTATAAATCTATTATCAAGTACAAGAGAACTTTCTACTTCTAACTGTCTTTGCATTTGCCATGTACATGGCCGGCATTGACACAGAGAAGGAGCACACTAATGCCAAGAAGATCCTGCTGGAGCTGAGAGAGTTCTTTCAGGTGCAGGATGGTTACCTTGACGTTTGTGAGAACCCCACTGTGACTGGAAAGGTTGGCACTGACATGCAAGACAGCAGGTGCCTCTGGCTGGTGCTGCAGCATCTGCAAGGCCCCTCTAGAATACCGTCAGGCTTTGCAGGAAAATTGTGGGCAGAAGGATGCCAAGAAGGTTCCCAAGTGAAGGCACTTTAGGAGAAGCTGTGCTGCTAGCTGTGTTCTTTGATAAGGAAGACAGTTACAGCTGCTCTGAGCATCATCCAACAGTATGCCCACTCCTGCTGCCCGGCGTCTTGCAGCCAGCCAACAAGATTAACAAGCAGTAAAGGTGACCTAGAGACTACAAGGACTGTGCGTGAGAGCTCTCAATACATTACTGTCCCACAAAAAATTAAATTTAAAAAATAGAGATAATCTAGGATTATATCCCTAGAACTAGTGTTGAGCTACTCAGGACTCCTCATTTTTAGCTTTATGATAAAACTCTTAAGGACAAAACTAAGATTATTAACTAAGATCTCTCGGTTATTTCTTTAACTGATTTGAACAGTGCATTTCCTTTCAGGAGGTTCAGAAAATAGGAAGAGTCAAGGATAAGGGGATCGATGATGGGGACTGCGTGTTTTCTGTGAAGAATGGTCGGTCTTTTAACCAGGGGATGTTATGTTCACAGCTAGCGTGGTCTTGAGAGAGCACTTGGCGAGAAATCTTTACTTTCATTTATCTCTGACTTGTATGTTCTGAATACTAAATGGTTAATGTTAGCTGAGTTTATATTCTTACTGTTTAAAATAATCTGCTTTTTTCAAGACTCAGTTAATTAACTATATCTACTGGCCGTAGATATATTGGGCATGAATACAGTTTGTATATTATATATAGGTACATAAATATAACAGTATAATTTTAGTTCAAGGAAAAACTATTAGATGGTAGGATAATAGTAAAATTAGAGTGGCATGGATGATTCTTTAAAGATGAAAGTTATTCATTTTTTATCATCTTAGGTGTTAATTTACTATACCTTCCAAACTGTAGATAAATTTTTTTTAATAGCCCTAAGAAAATGTTTGGGTTTCTTAGTGTTACTTTTACCAACTTTAGAAAGTCAGTTTGGTACAACTTACTGAAATTTTAGGTAGATTGGCTCTAGCTATGAGAAATGAATAAAAAAAGTAAGGAAAATGTGAATTATGTTAGAATTAAAACCACAGTAATGATAAATTACTCAAACTATAATGCAAATAAGTGAAAAGCTCCAATAATAAGAATTTGTGTTAATTGTTTTCTACTAAGAAGCAGGTGGTAATAACATGAGTAGTACAATTAGAGACATAAGTAGTCAGGGAAGAGAGGTAACTACAATTCCTTAGGGTCAGAATCTATTTGACCCCTGTTCCTGCACACCTGTAACACGCAGTTGGAGAAAATGAAATAGTTTTTTAAGAACTTGAGAAAACACACAATACCCAGTGTTATCCAGAGATATTTGAATTGTTCTTTTGACCACTTCTCATAATAAGTTCTTATAAAGATTAGCTTCTTCACATTAAGTGGGAAAGTATTTTGAAACTGCAATCTATTATTGAGTTACAAACTGTTACCATACTTGACTCTACTTTGACTTTGTGTCATCACTGTAATGCCATACTAAGGGAAGCAAGCATCACTTTTTGTTTTACTCTTACACCATTTGTTATCACTTGCATTTACTGGTGGTGGGGAGCCAGGTATATTGCTTGTTTTTAATGTATAGTTTGATAATAGCCAACAGTCCACATAGTTAATGTACTGGGAACTATCCTAAGTGCTCTACAAATGTTAAATTAATTAAACTCCACAGCAGCTGTCTGTTTTACAGATGAAAAGATGGAAGCAGAGTAAAGTGATTAGTGTAAAGTTTCACTGCATTGAGCAGTGGAGGTTGGATTTGAGCTCTGTAATTGGAAATAGTTGCTCTTAATCACATTATTTGCCTGTTCCCCTACAGTTTGATACAAAGGATAGAGAGGAGGGTAGAAATACAACCAGCATTACAAAGGACAAAATCTATCAAATAATCCCACTCCTGCAAATTAACTTTGTTGACATGTTGGCATTATTGAATTCTTACTGCTTGCTCTTCCTTTGCCTCCCCTCTTCCCATGATCCTGTGTTCGTGTGACTGTCAAACCTGAAAGACCCGTGACATCTTATGAGCATCTTTACATGTCAGAGAAGGATGTTGGCTATGTAGTATTATGCAGCTTTTAACATAGTCCCATTGTATATTTTCCTCTTGATAGATGTTTCATTTCTATTTATATCATTCAGTACTTAGAAACTGAAACTTTGTAAAACTCACTAATTTAAAAATGTGTAATCCCTTAATTTACATTTTATTTGACTCTAAGTTTTAATATCTATGTCTTATAAATTTCTTTGTCCATTTTAAAATGAAATTACTGATATTTTTAGTGATTTAGAGTAAGTCTTTACATTTTAGGCTGTTAACTATAATGTGTTATCTTTTTCACTATCTCCACATATTTCTAATCTTGAAGGTATTTTCATTTCTGAAAGTAAGAATATAGTATTAAGTATTCATCAAGATAATTAGCTGTATATCTTGTCAGCAAAGCAGTTATTTTATTGGAAAAAAGCAAGAGTAAGATCAATGTGTTGCAGTTTTATACAATTAGAATTTCACTTAATGGTTTTTGTATAAAATTCCCTGATTTTTTTTTTAAATTAATGGCCTATTCTCATTTTCGCATGTTTTAGGTATGTTCCACCAGAACAAGCTAAAGTGGTGGCATCAGTTCATGCATCTATTTCAGGGTCCTCTGCCAGTAGCACAAGCAGCACACCTGAGGTCAAACCACTCAAATCTCTTTTAGGAGATTCTGCACCAGCACTGCACTTGAATAAGGGCACGCCTAGTCAGGTGAGAGTAGTCTTTAAATCTTTGTTGGGACTTCTACGTAAGATTGAATGTCAAGAATTTGAAGGTTCACAGCAACATAACCTTGAGTATCAGTAGCATTGTATCCTAATAGTTTTCTTTTTAAAAAAAATTCAATGATTGTTGGGAAAGTAGTAGGAATGGGTATGCATATTTCTATTTGTGTGTGTAAGATCATTTTGCCTTCTCTGCAATTTGAAAAGATGTACAAGAAATGTTGCTAAAGCTCTTCATCATATATTATCTACTTAGGAAAACATGGATCTGTAGTGAGCCTCTGTGATGGATGTTCTCATTCTGTAGAAGTAGTAGGATTTTCCCACATGTGTGATTAAGGAGCATGCTTATCATTAAAATGCATTTGTCTTTGCACTATATCTGGGTCTAAGAAGTCTGAACAGAAGAAACCTGATTAAGTTGATACCTAAAGTACACAGTTCTATATTGTAGTTGATAAGACTGACAGATCTGTTAACTATGTGGTGATACCACCTCTGTCCTACACAAGAACTCTGAAACATACTCATGTGCATTAAATTCTTCCCCTTTTATAATACATTATAAAGCTTTTGGATAAATACTGTTTTCACAGAAGGACTAAGTGGGGGGAAACGAAGGAAGGCATAAGTCAAAATTCTTCCTATGTATAAATTCATATTAAGCTTTATGAATTGAAAATGGTTTTACAGAAACACTCAGCAGAAGTGTCTTTGTGGTTAATAATGTGGTTTATAGTCCCCAGTTGTAGGTTGTTCTCAAGGGCAGCAGCAGGAAAGGAAGCAGTTTGACCTTTTGAGTGATCTTGGCTCAGATATCTTTGCTGCTCCAGCTCCTCAATCAACAGCTACAGCCAATTTTGCTAATTTTGCACATTTCAACAGCCATGCAGGTATGTGTCTTTTCCTAGTTGCTTTGCCCAGGATGTATGTAAAGCTTCAAGAAACATCCATTCTTTATTAAATTTAAGTCTCTGTGCACATGTTTTATTCAGGGTGTTTGGTCACTGTTAAATGGTGAAGCTAAGCATGTAATTGGTACTTTTTACTTAAGAGATTATGTGTAATAGCAATTATGATCTTTTCTGTGGAAAAATGAAGATATTAAAATGCACACGTGTTTGTGTGTATATAACATTATTCCTTTATTATGGTAAATTATTCCACACATATACTCAAAACTAAATGGATAATTTAACCTTGTTTCTTTCATTTATCATTCCATTCATTATTTTGAAGCAAATTTTGAGATATATTTGTATAAGAGGACTTTTCTCTGTTAAATTTTACAGTAGTATTACCATGCTCTAAATAGCAATGATTCATCTTCCACTATTCAAATTTCTGCCAATCGGAATTTATGTGTATGCACATGAGCGAAGTGTATGTATCTACACATACATACATGTACACACATATATCAACACCAGTATAGTTTGCTGGGATTAAATTTCAGATAAGATGCAGACTTTGCAGTTAAGAGGTACATTTTAGTTTTCTGTGAGTCTCCATTTTTTCTCTCTCTGATTTGTTAAAGAAAGTAGGTTATTTAGATTTTGCAGTAACCTGAATTTGGTGGATTGTATCACTGTGCAATTATAATTATAGTTGGATCTAGAGACTTGATTAGTTACAGATCCACATATATGGTAAGGAAGGCTGAGGCCGGGGTGCTAAGGGAGTTGCAAGCTCTTTATCTTGGGGGAAAGGTGTTCAGGGGTCTTATTGCCTAGGGGTATAATTTCGAGTTCTTTCTTTTTTTTAATACTGTTAACTGATCATCATGGACAATACTTGGGTGTCCATTATGAAAAGTGATGTTGATTCTGAGTTTATTGTTTTTTATTTATACTAGAAACATACTAGAAACAGAATACTTTACATTGAAAATTAATGTGAAGTCTTGATGTGTACATCAGAGAAAGTATCCCCATCTCAATTGTGAATGAAGAAGCATCAAAACGAATGTAGAACACTAACTTAAAAATTGACATAATCATTTTTTTAGATTTGTTTAGTAATTTCACATTTTTCTTTGTATTATTGTCACATGTGTATGTATGGTTTTATTAAACCTGATTTCCAAAATTTTACTATAAGCAAGACCATATATCTTTCTAAAATGTGTATTTTAGGGGCCTGCTGACAGAATCGATTATTTGTGCTTTAGAACTTATTTTACATTATTTTTAGCTCACCTATGAGATCAAAATAGTATTGCCTTTCTTTTCTTTTAATTTGATGACTTTATCTTGTTGAATAATAATCATATAAACCATATCTCATATATATGTACTTGCCCCACAGAGAGTTATGGGTAGTTTGAAATTGCTGCTCTTTGCCACATTTCTTTCTTGTAGAATTAAAGAAGCCTTTTATTTTAAAAATCAATAAAGACATTTTTCTAAGATAATGCTTCAGATAGAAATTGATGTGTACGTTTACTTATAAAAAGGATCCTAGGATGGTGGATATCCTAGGTGAGATGATGCTGAGATGGGTAAGTAATCAGGAAACTTTAGTTGTTGGTATATTTTTTCTTCATTTTTAGACCAATAGTTTGCCCTGGCCAGACAATGGTTTCAGCTCTCTGCTTTCTTTTCATGCATTTGAATGGGTGTAGAGATCACAGAGCTTGGAGCAGGGTCTCAACACCTGTAATCCTTGCGATTCTATCCCAGCCCAATATCAGGAAAGTCTGTGAGACTCTAACCTGCAGTTAACTACAGAAAACGGGTAGTGAGGGTGTAGCTCAGTGTGGTAGAACATTATTAGCCTTGAGCGGAAAAAGCTCAAGGATAACACCCAGGCCCTGAATTCAAGCCTTCTGAAGGACCAAAAAGGGGGAGGGGGGTGAGAGAGAGAGGGAGAGTAAAACTTCCATAATTCTATTTTCAAACAGCTTGAAATTATTGATAAATGACTATTAAACTCTTGTACCTCTCTTAAGTTTCTGTCTTTATATGCAGTTTGTGAATATTTTCAGATCATCGGTTTATGTGGCATCTTTTCTTGTACCCTTTTAGCCAGACAGTGACTGCGTACATCACTACAGCTTCATTGAGTAAATTGTACCATAATTGTGTTTATATTTGAATAACTTACTAATATTATGCCTTTAAAAATTGCCAGTAGTTAGAGAATAGGAAAAATATTTAAAAAGAGAAAGAAACCTATTTTTACCAGATGGGTAGATTTTTAGGTAGATTTTAAAGTAGGTAAGTATATGGCAATAGTTTAATACCCATGGAGATTTGATTAGGTTGTCTTAAGAGTAGTCCTTCCCTTTCTCTTTTATAATTTATTTATTTTTCATTATCTTTAAGTAGTTGAATAGTCTTTTTGGCCTAATTCTTATGGATATAACTATGCAAATATTTTTCCATTGTTTTGCTTTATTTGATTTTTAGTTTGATCTTAGAAGAATAAAAAATACATACGCTTTTTATAGGAAGAAGCTATTTCCTTCCTTCTTGATCTTTATAAAAATAGACCAATGTGTTTAGCATTGTTTTGTAAGAAAACTTATCCTTTGTAACTAAGTTAGTGGCTTAAAATCTATCCTATGTGTTGGTAGGTAGAACCATTATTAGGTTCAGGAAAGGTCATCTACAGAATTATATATTAAGTTAGAAATAACATTCACTTGAGGAATTTACTAGACGTGTTACACTTATTGTATCACAAAGCCAGTGAACTATAAATTATAATTCATTTTTTTGGTCACTCCTTATATTAGAGATCACAAACTCAATTACCTTATACCCTCGGTACTACAATGAGTAATATAGCCATTATGGAACTCTGGTGCCCTTTCTAAAGGGAATATTCTAAACTCCTGTTGCCACATGAAAATAGGGTTTTAGGATTACTAGCTGTGTTGATTTTTCTTTATGAAAATAAATCTTTTTTTTATTTTGCTTAATGTGAAATACTGTCGTTAAATATTTGCAATTCATGAAAAAAATGTTTAATACTCAGATGAAACAAAATGTGCATGTCAGATGATTTTGCTGTGGGATTCTAATCTGTATTTCAATAATGTTCTCTCATGGGCATCTTTTGTAATTGAAGAGGAATTCTAGCTATCAGCAGCTCACTAACTTAAATTCAAAACTCAGTTGATTCTTTTATATTAAAAAAATATTATTTAAGAAATGTCTCTCCTATTTTGCCATATTCTCTGTAGTTGGAATTTCTTGGGGCAGGTTGCTTTGACACTCCAGGCAGTATTTTTATATTAATTGAGTTTTTTTAGTGTTTAATTTCCAAAGCTTTGTTTTTCAGTTACATTTCTCAGTACATGAAACCAGTTATTGAAGACAGCAAATACTTAGTATTCAAAAGTAAAATCTGATACAAATATTATCAAGCCCTGCAAGATTGGCATTTGACTAAGGTGTTTGGAACTCTGGTTGAAAAATAATGGGAAAATATAAATAAAAATGAACTTGACTAAAAAAAGATTTTCCTCGACATGATTTTTTTTTTTTTTTCTTTTGTTGGTTGTGGGGCTTGAACTCTGGGCCTGGGCGCTGTCCCTCAATTCAAGGCTAGAACTCTGCCAGTTGAGCCACAGTACTGCTTCCGATTTTCTGAGTGGTTTATTGGAGATAAGAGTCTCATGATCCTTCCTGCCCAGGCTGGCTTTGAACTGCAGTCCTTAATCTCAGCCTCCTTAGTAGCTAGGATTACAGGCGTGAGCCACCGGAACCTGGCATGATTTGTTCTTAAACATACAAATAAGTTGCTTGAGAACAGCAATTTACCACTTGGATTATAACACACTAAATTTGAGAACTTCTTATTCCATTCTTCATTTCTTTCTGGTTATATAATCTACATGCTACATGTTTTCCCTTAGAACTTATTATAGTAGAACTTCTTTTGTTTTCAGCCTAGCCTTTTCAGTCAAAGCCTTTAAGGAATTTATTTCTTTTCTCTCATATGTTATAGAATTACAGCATTAAATTTGCAAATAGAGGGCTCCAGGTCCTCCTATTTTGGTATTGAGCAAACTGGAAGGGCCAGAACAATAGAAAGGTTATAGTAAATGACATTAAAATGAGATTTTCAAATTCTTAACCTAGATTCTCTTTTCAGTAAACTGCACTTGTTTACTTCTGTTCTCAGTACTAAATAGAACTCTTTTGTATTATATTTATTATTGCTTGATCTTGTATAGATGATTTCTCCCAAGTAATTTTTTTAAAATGTGTGTATATATCAATCCCAGGGCTTGAACTCAAGGTCTAGGTGCTATCTGAGCCTTTTTGCCCAAGACAGTGCTCTACCACTTCACTACAGCTCCACTCTCCACTTTTCGGTGACTAATTGGAGATAAGAGTCTCCTGGTCTTTTCTTGTCCCAGGGCTGGCTCTGTACTGTGATCCTCAGATCTCAGTCTCCTTAGTATTAGTATTATATTACAGATATGATCCACTGGCACACCCCCCAAGTTATTTTTCAAAAAACTAAGTTTTAATTAATCACTTTTAGTATTTACATTATTATTTTATAAAAAGTAAAATTTCAGCTTATAGTTTTTGTCATCACAAAAGATTGTAAAATATACAGATTTTTTTCTTTTTTTTCAATATTATTTTAATGTAGAAAGAAGTCTTTGTCATTTTAGTACTGGTGTTGAAGTCATTTGCTCAGCAGGTGACTATTTGAGCCATGGCCCTCCCCATCCCCCGTCTTTTTGCTCAAGTATTTTTCAGGTAGGATCTCATGGTTGGTTGGTTGTTGATTTTTTTTTTTTTTTTTGGTCCAGGCAGACATAGACCATAATCTTACTGCTTATGCCTCCCACATATTTGGGGTGACATGTTTATTTGTTGAGATGGTGGGGTGTCTCACTAACTTTTTATCCATAGTAGGCCTTTCTGACCTCTACCTTTCCAATGTCTGTTACTATAGACATGAGCCACCAGACCTAGCTGAAGTTAAAGAAATTTTTCTCAGCAATAAAAAACCTTCTAACTACTTCTATGTAGTTGAGAGAGGAAAACTACTTAATTTTTCAAATTGTTATTATTAAAGTGATGTAGAGAGGAATTGTTGTTTCATAAGTCAAGTAATGAGTACATTTCTTTTTGGGTAGTGTCACGCTTTGCTTTCCCGGTTTCCCCTCTCTTGTCCTCCACCCACAAGTTGTATAGTTCATTTTCAACAAACTGTCAAGTGCTACATTGGTTCACCCTTGTCCCTTCATTTCTGTGCCCCTCTCTCCCCCTCCAAAGACAGATTAAACAAAAAAAGAAACAATAACAAAACCTAAAGGCAAAAAACAATTCATCTCTACCATTAACAGTAGGAAAAAAGAAAAACTTGTTTTTTGGAATTCATTTTAGTAAATACTATTTTAAATATTCACAGGTACATAGGGTTCCTCTCCTGAGAATATCTTTTAGTCTCACTGTGTGTGAATGCCTAGAGTCCTACGTAATTTATCATGTCATAGTATATTTTAGATCTAGCTTCCACATATGAGAGAAATGTGCCATTTGTCTCTCTGAGCTTGCCTTAGGGCACTTCACATGATATGTTCTAGGCCCATCCATTTTCCTGCAAATGACATAATATTTTTCTAGTGAGGATTGAGGTTTAGTTTTTTGAAGAACCACCAGACTGCTGTCCAGAGTGGTTATACTAGTTTATATTTCCACCAGCAGTGCAATAGGATTCCTTTTTCCCCACATATCTGCCAGCATTTGTTATTGTTTGAATTCACAGTGTTGGCCAATTAGAAAACTTTTTAGTGATGTTCATAAGCAGTAATGCATACTCAGCAGCCAATATGTCACAGAACAAGACAGGAAATGACAATCCTAAACACTCATGTGTTAGTCCCTGAATTGCTCTCCTTTGCTAATGGAGTCACTTTTGTGCTTTAGTTAGGGACATTTTCTTATTTACAATAGCAGCTACATAAAATGCTTTGTATTTTCTTTAATTTCTTCATAAAATAGTGTCTACTATGTTGCTTAATGGTGGGAGAATTTTTTAGTAACTTTTTTTGTTTGCAGCTAAAGCACATATTCATTGCAAAAGCTCTGTGAATTTAGGCAAATAGAAGATGATGATGACAGATCTGAAATCCTACTACTTAGAGTTAACTAAAATGCAAATTTTCTTTTGCATGTAATATGTTTAATTGAACAAAATTGGCAGGTGAAATTTAGCAACTTAGTTTCCTTGACATAAATATTTTTGTATGTGGTTTTTAATGGCTGCATTATACTCCAGCATGATATAAATGATTCTATAATATATTTAAGCAATCTCTATTGGTGATCATTTGAGTTTCTAAATTTTTTGGTATTTTAAGAAATCCGCTGTCTTGATTTTTAGATGTAGCCTTACTTATTTGCAAAGTTATTCCTTTATATACTTCCTGTGGATTTAAAATGACAGTCTTTTACTGTTTGTAACATTTAGCCTCTCTCCATGTTTTTCACATTTTTTGTTTTTGCCACTAAGCATTTCCTTTCCTATACACCAGCCATTTCCAATTCATATCATGTCCTCTTACAAAATTCTCACCCAGCATCTATTTTGGCCTTTACAAAAGCCTTGTGAATCATTTTATTTGTTGACATATTTAAAATTTAGATTAAGGCTGGCATTTTGTTTTTTTTAGACTGAAGTTGAGAAACACATTGTGGTCTCTTTTGCTTTTTGTTTTTGTCAGTTGTGGGGCTTGAACTCTGGGTGTGAACGCTGTCCCTCAGCTCTTCAGCTCAAGGCGAGCGCTCTACCACTTGAGCTACAGCACCACTTCTGGCTTTCTGGTAGTTTATTGGAGATAAGAGTTTCATGGACTTTCCTGCCCGGGCTGGCTTTGAACCGTGATCCTCAGATCTCAGCCTCCTGAGTTGCTAGGATTACAGGCGTGAGCCACCTGCTCCTGGCTACATCTTGGTCTCTTTAACTGAATATTATTATAATTTATACCACTGTTTGTTGTTTCTTAAAATTTTAATATGGATTCAAAATGGCAAGCTTCTAATAGAATGTAAATCTTTGGTTTATTTGGCTATCGTGTCCTTTACATTCATTTTCTTCATTTTTGTATGCCTACATTTGACATATTTGTAAACTTTAAAGAAGTTCAAAGGAAAATTTGATTCATGGGATCAAGCAATTTTTATATAATTACTTTAGGTATTTAGAGCACTCTTTAGACTCATGTAGCAGACCATGGTTTTAAGTCATTAAATTTTGTACACTATGTCTCACATGTTTGTCTGCTTGACTGTAGCTCATGTGTTCCTAAATTTGTTCTTCTTTTGCCAATAGAGTCACTTTTATGGTGATAAACCTGCAACCATTCAAAGGATATTGTGAATAAATGTATTCCACAGAAGTATTAATTGGAAATTTCTAAATATCCTTTAGTAAACATTAGTAGTGGAGTTAAGTGCTGGTAGCATTAATAGTCTTAACTTTTTAAATGAATTCTCTTTAAAGTGATTTATAAAACTTTTCATAAGATTTTAAGATTTCGTGATTCTTCATTTGTCATGTATTTTTATTTGTAGTTTTCATATTCATTAACATATGTTGTTCCTTACCATTTACAGCTCAGAATTCTGCAAATGCAGATTTTGCAAACTTTGATGCATTTGGACAGTCTAGTGGTTCGAGTAACTATGGAGGTTTCCCCACAGCAAGTCACTCTTCTTTTCAACCCCAAACTACAGGTAGAGCTCTTCTCCAGCATTGTACTTAAATGGTTACTTAAAACAAGAAAACTCTCTAGTTGTAGTCTTGAAAAATTAAATTCTACAATGACCTGACTTTAAAACACTTGCATTATACAAAGCTCTGGGGAAACCTAAAATCTTTTTTTTTCTGTGTCCATTTGTCTTTGTAAACTCTTTGGTATATTATCTATTTTGCAATGTCTGTTCTCTTTTCCTGCACAAGAATCATTTTAAAATCTCCCATGCACTGAGGTATTAATGTACTAAAACTTTTTTTAGATTTGTAGAGCATATTGAACTTGACAGGCATTATGCCTGAATAAGAGAAGCCAATTGACTGCTTTCATAGAACTAAAAATAGAAATGACTTAAAGAGCAATATACTTGAGAAGAATTCCAAATGTTAGTTAACACTAGATTATTAATGTTAATCAAATATGAAAATAGTTTTCTGTGCAGGAATTGGTCTTTAAACATTGAATGCTTTTTCATAAATTGTACTGTTTTCAGAAACTCACTAAGCCCTTATTTAGATTGTTGGCTGATTGCTTTTCTTTCAACTTTTAACTCTGTGTGTATTGTCTTAAAGCCTTTTCTTTCAATTTTCTTTCTTTTTAAAATTTTTCATCATTTACATAATTTCTGGCTGTCCAGCATTTAGAATACTTTCATCTAGCTGCAGTTTTGGTGAATTTACTTCAGCTTTTCCTCTTCAGGCTACCCACAGTAAGTTCTGTTGTTAAGAAGGCATCTAATTAATTTGTATATTTTATGTGTACTAAATGAGTTTTTCAATATTGTAATTTTGATGATAATCTTTCATAAATTAAATTCCATATAAATCTTTCATAAATCTTCATCTCCTTTCTCTGTTATCAAACCCAGAGTTAACACAAACAGTATTTAATAAAAGTTAATTGGTTGACTAATGTGAATAAAATTTTTCACACAAATTTTGGAAGCTTAGTATGTATGTTTTGCTGCTTGCTTTGTTTGCCAATTAGTTTATAATAGACCACTGTCTTTTAAATACAAGCATATTTCTTAGTTTTAGTAGATGTTTTTAATTTTATTTTTGAGATGAGAGTCTTATATTGCTCAGATTGACCTTGAACTGAGAATCTTCACATTTCAGTTTCTTAAATCTTTAGGATTATAAGTATGTACACCATGCTTAGTTTTATTTGAAACAACCAGAAGTAGTTATTGACAAAAGATTTACAATACATATTTGTTTTAGAATGTCTAAGACTGTAAGACTGATTGATGAAAAGTGTTTTTGTTGTTGTTTTGCTTTGGGGGGGGGGGGGGTTAAGATCCGGTCGTGGGGCCTGAACTCCGGTCGTGGGGCCTGAACTCTGGGCCTGGGCCCTGTCCCTTAGCTCTTCAGCTCAAGGCTAGCGCTCTACCACTTGAGCCACAGCGCCATTTCTGGCTTTTTTTTTTCTTTTTGCTTATGTGGTACTGAGGAATTGAACCCAGGGCCTCAGGCATGCAAGACACCTTCCCAGCCTGAAGGGTGTTTTTTTTAATTTGGCATAAAAATCCATTATGTTTCAAAAATTGATATTACCTTTATATCATAGTTTAAGGACAATTTAGGAATAGAAATCTAATATCAAAAGGATAGGATCTAAAACATAGGATGAAATATACAACTTTAGTCTTTCTTTAGGACATAGTTTAAAAATTTAGTAGGATATGTACCATAGTGACCATTGTGTGAATCATACTTTATTGTGACCATGATATTGAATGCACATGAATTACTACACAATAATTCAGTAATGGCTCTTTAAGTGAAGTAGTATCTAAAAGTCAAGGACCATCTTTTAAGTAAATTCTTGATCAAAGTAATACCTCCTCAACATTGTTAATCCTTACCCTTCAGATTAAAAAAAACCATATCTCTATGGAGCTTCAAATGCTTGAATCTTCTAAGGAATACATGCTGCATGTTGTTCATAGAGTCTGTTGAAGAACTTGGTAGAATCATAGTATATAACTGGAAGTAACTGAATTTCAACCAGATAGAATGGAGGTTACTTTCCCTAAGAGCTAGATTTTTTTCACTTCAGGTAGATGTTAAATGTTGCCAATGCTTTCACATATAGCTGATTAGAGTGCCATTTACCACGCATTAAATTGTAAGACTACATATGACGACTATAAGACCACAAATGCAGTTAAAAGAATGTCCTATAATGCTTACAGGAGACTTAATTTAGGTAGAAATGATCAAATTGCATACCAAAGGATATTGCAAGAAGTCTAGAATTTTCAAGTGTTCTGTTTATTTTGTTACAGGTGGAAATGCTGGATCAGTAAATGCTAATTTTGCTCATTTTGATAACTTCCCCAAATCCTCCAGTGCTGATTTTGGAACCTTCAGTACTTCCCAGAGTCATCAGACAGCATCAGCTGTTAGTAAAGTTTCAACAAACAAAGCTGGCTTACAGACAGCAGACAAATATGCGGCACTTGCTAATTTAGACAATATCTTCAGTGCTGGACAAGGTATCAAAGGCAAAAAAGAATAAAATTTATGTATGAAGCAGTGCTCTAAGTTGAATGAATCAAAATCTGAGAATGTTAGGCTTTTCTTGGTTATATAAAATGTTTCACTTGGCACTTTTTGACCTGAAACTAATCAATTGTATAGTTGAAGGCATAGATATTAATTTATAAACAACTTCTTTCAGAAGAAAAATAAATGAGAAAATTTTCATTTGTCCTAGAAAGCATACTTCATTATTCTGTTCATACAGGACCAAAAAACTCTATTAACAAAGATAACTAGATGTATCTTAATTTTAATGCATTTTCTGTTACATTTGGCACTTAAAAATTAATCATTTAAAAATTTTTTATTGTAGTTTTGGTCTTAAAGCCAAGCAAGCATTGTTTTTATTTGGTTCTAAAAGTGCCTAATACAGTAGTAACCTGCAAGGATCAGGTGCTCCTCTCTTTGCATTTGTGGGTTTCTTGTTTTTTTAATTTCTAAAGTGAGAATGATGATGGCAACTGAACTCAGGGATTCACCTTATTCCATGTGAGGCATTTAGGTAATCATGGAGCACACAGGAAGTTTTTTGATACTGTTACTAGGTTTGTTTCACATGTGTATTTGTTCCCAGGTGGTGATCAAGGAAGTGGCTTTGGAGCCACAGGAAAAGCTCCTGTTGGGTCTGTGGTTTCCGTTCCTGGTCAGCCAAGTACAGCCTCAGACAAGTATGCAGCCCTGGCGGAACTGGACAGCGTTTTCAGTTCTGCAGCCACCTCCAGTCATGCGTACACTTCTTCAAGTAATGCTAGCAGGTACCTTGTCTTGGCATTCCTGCTTTACGTTTTCTTAACATTCCTGCTGTATGTTGTACCTTTTAATTTTTTTCCAGCTCTAATATAGTTAAAATGACTATTTGGGAGTATAATTTAAAATTAATTGAGTATTTTTTAAATTTGAGATTTGAACTTGAGTTTAATTTAAGTCAAATATAATCCTCAAGTGATTGCCATGATTTTATCCTTTTTTTGAAGTTAGTTTTGTTGCTTTTCATCATTGGCTTCTAAAATGTAATTCAATAGTATGTACACATCTTGAAATGAACAGTTACATGCAAGTTGTACCAACTCAGTAAGCAAGTTATACGCTTTTAAGGTAGTTTTCACTTACAAAGTCCAGACTGTAAAAAGTACCTTGATGTAGTGTTAGATTTTTGTGTGTGTGTCGGTCATGGGCCTGAACTCTGGGCCTGGGTGCTGTCACTAAGCTCTTCAGCTCTAGGCTAGCACTCTACCACTTGAGCCATAGTACCACTTCTGGCTTTTTCTGATTATGTGGTGCTGAGGAATTGAACCCAGGGCCTCATGCATGCAAGGCAAGCACTCTACCACTGAGCCACCTTCCCAGCCCCTGTAGTGTTAGATTTTACAATTGTTTGCACTAAAATCTAGTATCAGTTCTTACTCCTTGTGTCATATTAGTGTTTAAAACGGGTACATCTTGTGTCATATTAGTGTTCAAAATGGGTACATCTACTGTTATGTTCATATAGATCTGTTTTAAAAGAATTCTTGACAGCAAGAATTCTAGCACAGTTTGAATGCATACTCGTTTTTGAGTCTTATTGTGTATCTCAGGCTAGAACCTCATGCCCTGTCTCTGCGCTTGCAGTTTCAGGAGTGGACTTCCATGTTCAGTAAGATAGTAGACTTAAAGACTCTTCATTTTTGGAATTAAGGAGACCAAGTCAAAAACACATTTACCTATACAATGTTTTATTTATTTATTGTGTGTGTGTGTGTGTTTCTCTAGTTTTTGCTTTTGATCCTGGATTGTATCTACTTTTTTCTTGTATTGTTCTGTAGTATCTTTTAGAGACGAAAGGGCAAGATTATAGCAGGAGCTACTTGTGTTCTTTGATAATAATCTTTTGATACTCCAGATGGGAAAAATGGCATCCAAAGAATAAAACTTAAGGTTTATTTTTTGTTTCATTAATATTTATCTACATTAGACATTAATAATGAGCTATAACAAGGTGGCCCTAAAGTCGGGAAACACAGACTTATGTATAGTAAACAATTTACAGTGGTGGTTCACACAGTGTAACCCATGTAGTGTTTGAGGTGCATAAGTCTATTTTATGGGATCAGTGAGGTTAAACTGGGCTGTTATTTGCCTTTTCACTAGTTGACACGTGTATTGACAGTGCCAGACAGTGCCATATATTCCTTGTTGTCAGCTCAACCTAAATTAGGAAAGGGTGTCACCAGATCATATCAGAAGTTCTTTTTGTATTACTTTTTAGAGTCTACCTATGTTATCTGGGTTACTCTTGAACTCAAAATCTTTGCCTCAGCCTTCCAAGTAGCTGACTAGTAACACAAGTATGCACCACCCCATGTGGCTTTTCCTTACAAATTATGCTGTTTTTGTTTTTTGCCAGTAGGGGCTTGAACTCAGAACCTTGTACTGCCTCTTAGCTTACTTGCTTATGGCTGGCATTCTACCACATAAGCCTCACTTCCAGTCTGACTTTATGCTGATTAATTGGAGTTTGAATCTCAGACATTTCTGCCCAGGCTGGCTTCAAGCCTCAATTTTCCAGATCTCAGCCTCCTGAGTTGCTAGTATGACAGATGTGAGTTACCTACACCCATCTTATGAATATTCTTGATCAATTTTTCTTGGATATTCTTGAAACAGTCTTTTTTTTTAACTTTTTGAAATCTTTACCTTAAATATGTCTTCTTAATTTTATGTGCTGAAATAAGATGTATGGCAAATTTTTCTAATAATTTCAGATGTGATTGTATTAAAAGAAACTACCCATCTATTTGTTTGAGTTGTAAGATGAACTGTCGACTTACTTTATGGACACTATTTCTTGATTGGTAGATTAACTGGCTATTCATTCAGATTTGAGAATTTGTTATTTATAAAATAGAAACTAGGCCAGTCACTTTAAAGCATACACTTGATAAAATTCATACTATCAAGCAAATATTAGGACTTTGGAAAATTTATAGAGTCCACTGAGTTTGACAGCTTCCCACTAGTTTTTCGTTGATGGATGGTTGCTGCTATTAATGACTCTGATTTTAAATTTTGCATGAGAAATGTAGTCAGCATTTGGAATATTGTCATAGCTTAGTGAAAAATATTTTCTGTATGACCTATACAAGTTTTAAGGTCAGTTAAAGATTTATTTGAAGTATACAGTTGTTGTGGAGGTTTTTTGGTGCTGATCCTTGCGTTTGTACTCACAAGCTGGACACAGTCCCTGAGCTTTTTTGCTCAAGGCTAGAGCTCTACCACTAAGGTTCAGCTCTACTTCTGGCTTGTTTGGTGGTTAATTGGAGATAAGAATCTAGTAGACTTTCCTGCCCAGACTGGTTTTGAACCACAGTCCTCAGATCTCAGCTTCCTGAGGACTACAAATATGAGCCACTAGCACCTGGCTTTGAGCAGTCTACTGTAACAGAGCACTAAACGTTCTTGGAAAGTGCTTTAAAAGTTCACTTAATCTTTAGGAATCTGTCACTGTTGCTTTTGATATGATACCAAAGAAAATAGTCTCAATTATCTGAAGACTACTAAAATACTGCTTTTGTTTGTTCAGTTATATATATCTATGCAAAATTGCATGGTCTTCATATACTTCAAAACATCGTAACGTACTGATCTTCTATATGTAATCCACTAATCGATTTATGAAAACATAAAAGTGTTGCTCTTTAAATTCCTTTTGTTTTGAAGAAAATATGCCTTTATTATTTAAATCTGAGGAAATAAATTTTTTGTGGTGACAGGATCAAACCCAATCTGAAGAATATGCTTTTGAAAAGTTTCAACTTTAATGTTCTGTTTGGTACAAATTGAAAAATATAGTACCTGTAAACAGTTTACTTCTTATTGGAGTCTCAGGAAGTTTTCAGGATGTAAACATATGTTGAGATTTACTGTGAAAACTGAAGCGGTACAGGACTCTTTCATTCTTTGTTTTCAGCAGTGTTTTTGGAACAGTGCCAGTGGGTGCTTCTGCACAGACACAGCCTGCTTCTTCAAGTGTGCCTGCTCCATTTGGGGGTATGTGCTTCTGGTATATCTACTGCATTATATGCAGAACCTGTGTGTGTGTGTGTGTGTGTGTGTGTGTGTGTGTGTGTGTGTGTGTGTGTGTGTGTGTGTGTGTGTGTGTGTGTGTGTGTGTGTGTGTGTAATTTAGTACTGGAAGGCAGTCAAAGCACAGACACAGCCTGCTTCTTCAAGTGTGCCTGCTCCATTTGGGGGTATGTGCTTCTGGTATATCCACTGCATTATATACAGAACCTCTGTGTGTGTGTGTGTGTGTGTGTGTGTGATATAGTACTGGAAGGCAGTCAAAGCACAGACACAGCCTGCTTCTTCAAGTGTGCCTGCTCCATTTGGGGGTATGTGCTGCTTCTGGTATATCCACTGCATTGTATACAGAACTTGTGTGTGTAGATAGATAGATAGATAGTACTGGGAGGCAGTCAAAGCAGTGGTTTATTGAAAGGCTGTCATTTTCTATCTTCATACACATAGATAAATTTTGTCTTGAATGTAAAATATATTAGGATTTTATAGTATATTTTATAATTTTTTAAAGCTACGCCTTCCACAAACCCATTTGTTGCTGCTGCTGGTCCTTCTGTGGCATCTTCTACAAATCCATTTCAGACCAATGCCAGAGGAGCAACAGGTAAGGAAAAAAGATGGATTATAGAATAGTGAGCATTGGGGAAGGAATTTGGGGTGAGACACACCTTAAAGAACCCTAGGAAAGGGAACCCTTTTCTTTACTAAAGTCAATGGGAAGTTTACAGAGTTTGTCTGTAAAATCAGATGCTCCCCAGGCCTCATGACATACTCCTGTCATCCCAGTACGCAGAGGCAGGAAGATTGTGTGAGATGAGGGGTTTTATGAGAATGTGTCAGATTTAAACAAATGCTGCCTGAAAGCTAATACATTTTGCCATTTAACAAAATTGAGAGGGACTTTAGAAATTAGCTATCAGTTACACAAACTTAATATATAGCATCTCTGTCCTCAACCATGCCATATAAGATCTGCACAGAATGTACACTATCTTCTTTTAGCCTTTTGTATTTTAAGCTGAAAGTGTCCCCACCCACTTTTTGAATGAACTGTATTTATAATTCTCCCTGGGGATACTTGAAGTTCATTCAGGTTATCTTTATGTATTTCTAGCTGTGTTGAATTTTAAATAAAACAATCCGACACTGTTCAGTTGCTCTGCCCAAAACCTGGAGTTGTAGATACTAAGCAGCATTTTTAGATGCATCTAGTGATGCTTTCAAAGCCTTGTTTTTATGGATAATTGTCTCTTCGCATGAAAAAAAAACTAGTGCTTATTTTTAAAAAATAGATTATACTAGTGTTTATTTTGGAATTTGTAATTCTAAATACTTCTATTTCATGTGGTATAAAAATGTCATGAATATGGTTGCAATAAAAGACTCACTTTGTGAATATGTTTTATTATGTATTATGCCAGCCAGTTGGCTATAGTGCATTTTAATTTTTAACTCTAAACATTATTTTCTTGGATTTTAATGATAGTTATCTGTAACTTAATTGACATTGGTCTTTTTATGCCTTTCCATAAGGCCTTTCTGGAGCAATGCATTCTCAAGTGTTTCCTCACGCTCATTTTGGTAGGTGGCCACAACTAATACCTAGATTTGTGTGGCAATTTGTCTACCCGCTTGTGGAAGCTTCTGCTAGTGTTCTGGATTCTTGCATGTGGAATTAAGTTGTTTCCATGTTTTAAAATGGAGTGGGCATGGATGTGTAGCATCAAGATTATGTTGTACTTGACGTTACCCAAAAATCTTTTATAGCAATGTTTTAATGCTTACCTCCATGGTCACAATAGAATGTTAATAATAGCTGTTTTAATTCTTAAGTTTGAATTCATAGTACTCTGATATCCTTTTGAGCTACAAACCATTTTATCATGTTATACCATGGAGTTTGGTTTCGCTTAACTGTATTCAAGATTTGCTCTTTTAGTGCTTTCTTGATCAGTGATATGTCAAAGTTATGTCAGTGCATTATTGTCTGTTATGAAATCTTCCCCTGCCTTTGCCATGTGCTTATTATTCTTTAGTTCACTTGCTTCCCAGTGGCCTGTTTTTCCTTTTTTTCCCCACTCATCAGTAAAATAAAAAGTTACTTTTTAAGTTTAATAGTCTATTAGATTCATAGAGCAAAATTGTATTTTTTGTGAACATTAGCACTGTAAGGATTACTTTGGATAACATAATTTGTGTTTAGTTTCTTAAAGAAACATGGTTTTTTGAAAGATTTTTCAGTGCTTAGTTTTAGTTCTTGTGCCTTTAGTTCAGAATGAAGTTGGTAGATTTTAAGATCAGGAAATTGAGCACATTTTTATACTTTTTTATAACACCATGTTCACAATGTTTCACTAATAATTACTAGGAGTCGAGGTAAAACAACTGTTTTTTTTCTCTTATTTCACTAAGTACCCAAGTAGAGCAGATAGCTGAAAGGAATATTTACCACTCTTCTGCTACTACATGTGTTTCTGTAATGCAAATTAGTTCATAAATGATTACAGAGAAGTAGGGAAAACAATACTATGTATCAATGCCACATAGACATTGATGGCTCTCTCTCAACATGTTAGTGCTAGTGCTAGATAGGGCAAGCCAAAAGGGAGTATTGTAATATTGAATACAACATCTATTTACTCTCCACTCCCAATTTTTCTTTTACAAATGTGTATCATGCTTCTTTTTCAATCTTTGTAGTAATCTTTGAGGCCCTAGTCTTCCAAGCTGTCTATTTTGATGTTGTTGCTGTTACTGTTTATATTTCAGCAAAGAGTAGGAGTCCATATACTTCTTTGGAGATTGATTTAATAGGAACTTAATATATCTTTTCAGTTGTATTAGTGTTTATTTGGCTCTAATTATAAAAAGATTTGAGTAATCTGCCTTTAACCTGTTTGTCCTGTGAATCTCATGATTCTGGGTGAATATTTTTCAGAAGTTTTAATATTTTTCAAGAAATATATGTTATATTGTAGTAGACAACTCTAGCAAGAAAAATTTCCTGAAAATTTTAGCTATTATATATAGTAAAACAAACCTAAAACACATAGATATATACTAATGTACAGATGAATTGCACTGTTTTCATATTTTTACTGTGATGCACGTTTAAAAGCTGACTACTACTAATTACTGTTGAGAAATTTCTTGTGATTTCAAATGACACATTTATTCTGGTCATTGCATTTTAGGAGAACCAGAATATCCTAGATTATGTTAAATTACTGCTAAAGTTTATCACTAGTAACATTGGTGGGATTTTGAAATTTCAAATACCTTTAATGTACATATGTTTCAAAGTAAGTGATGTCTACTCCACAGTGTTGGGTATAAGCAACAAACTATACCCTTCTTTTCTATCAGCGGCAACCTTTGGCACTGCATCTATGAGCATGCCTGCAGGGTTTGGTACTCCTGCTCCCTATAGTCTTCCCACCAGCTTCAGTGGCAGTTTCCAGCAGCCTGCCTTCCCAGCTCAAGCAGCTTTCACTCAGCAGACAGCTTTTTCTCAACAGCCCAATGGTAAGATATAATGCTTGGTGAGCTATAAATCCTATGATACTCTTTACATATAAATATGTTACCTGGGACAAAAACGTCTAAGGAATGCTATAGTGTTAATGTACAGAGTGTTTCCTGCACAAAAGTACAGTGATTCAGGTCTCAGAAAATTGTGGGTTTTTTTTTTTTTTTTGTATTATTATAAAGGTGATGAACTGGGTGGGGGGTTGGGGGGAGGTTTACAGTTACATAAGTAAGGTAATGAGTATATTTCTTTTTAAACACTGTTATCCCCTTCCTCATTTTCTCCTGCTTACCATCCCCCACTCCCCTCCCCCAAGTTGTAAAGTTAACTTCCAACATAGTGTCTAGTATCATTGCGACCTTAGTTCTTCCTTTGTCCTGCTGTTTCTGTGATTCCTTTTCCCTTTACAGATTAAGCTTTACATACATGACAAAGGGTACAGAAGAAAATAGAAATAACTGCATAAAGGACATAAAAAGAACCTTTTGTTTCCAATTCTTGGAGTTCATTTTGATATACTTCATTATATATGGTCGTATGCACTTAACAATTGGGCCATTGTGATCTCCTACTAAGAATATCATAGACATATTCTAATTATTATAAATGAGGAAAACCATGCAAACTGTATTTCTTTAGGCCTGGCTTGCTTCCTGTAGTATGATTTTTCCAGATCTTTCCATTTCCTTATGAATGGGGTAATGTCATTCTCTCTGACGAAGACCCAAACTCCATATACCACATCTTCTTGATCGATTCATCTATTGAGGGGCATCTGGGTTGGTTCCATATCTTAGCTATGGAGAATAATGCTGCCGTGAACATGGTTGTACTGTTATCTTTAGTGTGGCTTTGTTTTTGGTCATTTGGGTAAATTCCCAGGAGTGAGATTGCTGGATCATAGAGTAGCTCTATGTTTAGTCTTTTGAGGAACCTCTGTACTGTTTGAACAATTTTACACTCACACTAACAGTGTAGTAGTATTTCCTTTTGGCTACATCCCCTCCAGCATTTGTTGTTATTAGATTTCTTGATAATGGCCATTCTAACTGGGGTAAGGTAGAATGTCAATGTTGTTTTAATTTAAAGCAGATACCCTGAAAATATTATGGGAAGTAATAGGAGAAACACTAGGGCTCTTTGGTACAGTTTGAAACTTTCTTAATTAAGACCCAGAAACACAACAAATCAAAGAAAGATTGGATGAATGGGATTACATTAAATGGCAGAGCATCTGCATGTCAAAGGATATAGCTAGCAAGATAAATAGAAAGCCCACAGATGGAGAGATTTTCATTAGCCATACAACAGACAAGGGCCTCATATCTAAAATATACTTAGAACTCAAAACATTGAATCCCCAAAAAACAAATCCTCTTAAGAAACAACCATCCAATTAACAAGTGGGCTAAAGTCTTAAAGACTTTTCTGAAGCGGAAATAAGAATGGCTAGTAGATACATGAAGAAATGCTCGACATCTCTGGCCATAAAAGGAAAAAATTGTGGTTTTATAAGTTCTTATAAACTCTTACATGTGTCATAAGGCTCCTTGATTTAGAAAGGCAACTTTATAAGGTCGAGAATACTGTTTTGGTTTTTTTCTCTAAGTCAAAAATGATTGTCAGTGTACTTTTTTCTTGTATGAGAGAGAGAAAGAGGGTGTATATGTGTGCGTGAATTGAGGTTAGTTTTCTTAATAGATAACTGTGCAGAAGTTAAGTTTGTTTTCAGAAGAACCAAGAAGACAGATGCAACCATTTCTTTCTTTTTGTTGGTCATGGGGCTTGAACTCTGGGCTTGGGCATAGCTTTTCAGCCCACGGCTAGCACTCTCACCACTTGAGTCACAGTACCACTTGCAGTTAATTGAAGGTTAATTGGAGACAAGAGTCTGACGGATATTCCTGCCTGGGCTGGCTTTGAACCGTGATCCTCAGATCTCAATCTCCTGAGTAGCTAGGATTACATTCATGAGACACTGGCATCCGGCTGATGCAACCATTTCTTTTGAGCCATTTCTCTCACTTGCTGAAGTTTGAAAAATCTTAGATTTCAAGATTATCCTTGAATTGTGTGCTTGCTTTCTTGCCTGCTCCCTCCCTCCCTTCCTCCCTTCCCCTGCTTCTTTCCTTCCTTCCTTTCCTTTTTTGCTGGTACTGGGGCTTGAACTCAGGACCTGGGATGTCTGTGCCAAAGGCTACTGCTGTACCACTTGAGCCACACAGCACTACTTCCAGCTTTTTCTGAGTAGTTATTGGAGATAAGAGTCTCAGGGACTTTCCTGCCTGGACTGGAAACCTCCCAAGTAGCTAGGATTACAAGCTTGAGCCACTGGCACCCGGCACATGTTATTATTTTTGAAGTCAGTGGTTAGATAAAACTTGGAGCTGTGATGCATGGAAGAGCCATAAATAATCAAATATTTCCTAGAAATACTAGGCTTGTCACAGAAACATCACCTTGTCCATGTATACCCGCCCAAATAGTCACAAGCTCATCAGTTAACTAAATCCTTTGATGTCATGGTTTGCACGGAGACAAGTTCGAGTTAACCACTTATGAAGATCTCCAAGAGCTCTTTAAAAACATACCATAAGAAGTTTTTCTGAGGTTCATCTCTCATATTGGAAAGATGAAACCTGGAAGCATGACCTTGACATTTTTACCACTCTGGTAAGAATTTTTCTGAAACTTATTTTCAGACTTTATAAACAACAGTCACATCGCCTCTTAAAAATGGCATGAGTTATAATTGGTGGTTCTCTTTTCGTAAGGTGCAGGTTTTGCAGCATTTGGACAAACAAAGCCAGTGGTAACTTCTTTTGGTCAAGTTGCAGCTGCTGGAGTATCTAGTAATCCTTTTATGGTAAGATATTGAGTATTATGGACTTGATAAGTTGGTTTGTCTTTACCAGGTGTGGTGTCCTGGAATTGACCTTGTAAGATGATGTAAATTGAGACAGCTAGTTATGCATGCTTCTTATCAGACTGTTAAAAAATTAGTTGCATAGCCGAGCACTTACCCACAGTAAATAAACTATTTCATAGAATGTTATTTTGTTCAAAATAACACTTTAAGCGAGGCCATAGGATAGACCCAAGATTATAAGGGACTCTTAGAGCAGAAATTTTGTTTGAATCACACACAAGTCTTTCTTTTCACATGCCAAGTTTCTTCTTGGGATCTATTACAAGAACATATATGAAGGAATGCATTAGAAAGACATAGTATACTCCTTGACATCTGATACTGGTCTTATGGGTTATTGACAATAACAATGAATAAAATACTTCATAACTCAAATTTAATTAAATAAGAAATATAGTTCAATCTTTTCATTCTTTGCATACATCACTCTTATGTTTATTTTGTCTTATGTTTTCTTTAGACTGGTGCACCAACAGGACAATTTCCAACAGGAAGCTCATCAACCAATCCTTTCTTATAGCCTTATATAGACACTTTACTGGAACGAACTTTTATGTGGTCACATTACATCTCTCCGCCTCTTGCACTGTTGTCTTGTTTCACTGATCTTAGCTTTAAATACAAGAGAAGTCTTTTGAAAACCTGCATTATGTATTAAACACCAGGTAATATGTGCAAAACAGAGGGCTCCGGTAACAACTTTTAACCTGTGAATTGGCAGAAGAGGTAGCGGTATCATGTATATTCAAAATTGGCTAATACTAAGTTATTGCAGATACCACGTTCATTATGCTGCAGTACTGTACATATTTTTCTTAGAAATTAGCTATTTGTGCATATCAGTATTTGTAACTTTAACACATCGTTATGTGAGAAATGTTACTGGGGAAATAGATCAGCCACTTTTAAGGTGCTGTCATATATCTTGGAATGAGTGACCTAAAATCATTTTAACCATTGCTACTGGAAAGTTAAAAGTCAATATTGGAAGGTTTTATTCATCTTGAATTTTTCCTTTCTAAAGAGCTCTTCTATTTATACATGCCTAAATTCTTTAAAAATGTAGAGGGATACCTGTCTGCATAATAAAACTGATCATGTTTTGCTACAGTTTGCAGGTGAAAAAAATAAATATTAGAAAATATGCTATTGTTTCTGTGTTCTTGCTGCAATGCCTTTACCAAAGTGGCCTTAAGTCTGAGTAGTGAATTGAGAACATCCTGAATTCTTAAAGACTTCTAGTGACTAACTTTTTATAAAAAAGGCCATGTAGAAAAAATACTGAAACTACGAGGACTGCTCTGTTCAGGATTGTGTCCGTGGTAAAGCATTTAAATGTAGCTTGTCAGATTCACCATTAATACTTCTAATTTCTTTGCAATCCTTAATTTTGTGAAATTTGTATATATGAAGAATTTGCATGTATGTATTTGCGAATTTTTTTAATATCTTGAATTCTCAGACTGCAAAAGGCCTATTTTAACTATTGATTTTTTAATTTTAATTGTCTTTGAATGTATTGGAAGCAGACATGCATTAACTGTGACATGATTGCACCTGAGTTGTTTTCTCCCTCCCCCCCTCACCTTTTCCTGGACAAACTGATATTATCTGTAGGATATTGTTTATGTTTGTTGTTTGGGGGAAAGAAACTGGAACTCAATGTTACCTTAAAGTTATGAAATACTTTGTTTAAAAAGGCAGTGATACTAAGTTTAGTTATTTTTTTGTTAATATTCTAGTGAATTGTTTAAATATTTATATATCATAATGCCTCATTCATCTAGAGATAATCTGGCAGTCTCATTAAAATGGGACACAACTAAGAAACTTGGAATATTTTTTTAATGCCTCTGAGCAACACATATAACTCGTAAAGTATATGTTAGAGCTTATGCATTGTTTTTATGTGAAGTTTTAAATTTTGATGGTTTGATTTCTTGTTCTGTAGCCTGCTAGTAGTTGAGAAGTGATAGGTTAATTTAAAGAAGGAGACTGGAAGACTATGAAGACAAACACTATCCAAGACCATGTAGAATAAGGACACAGCCCAACCTACCGAACTGTACTATAGTGTGTCATCTTCTGGTAATTGTCTATTTTGATGACTCTGTGTCATCCAGAAAAGGTGAAATTTCATACACAAATATGTAATACATGTATGAAAAGTTTTCTCTTAAGGTGATTAAAAGTTTTTAAAAGCTTTAGTACTAAAAGAGGTGATTATCAGTTTGCTCATGTTATTCATGTTGACACCTTTCTGCAATGATGACTACATGAGCTGTAGTTTTTTACAATCTGTGTAGTTTGGGACTTGTTAAAGCCTTGTTCTCCACTGCACATCCAGTTGAAAGTACAATTTATCTCAACTGTTGTAGTAAAGAAAAGATGCTTTGATGTTCTCCATTCCTGTTCTGAACAGTATGCATCTTAGAATTAAATAATTGCTGCACAGGTCTAGATGTGTATTGATATAGTCTTGAAATGCTTCTATATTTTGGGGAGGCTCTGAAGCCCATTTTTTTCACCGGGGGTGCAGGGTGTATGTGGGGGGGTGGACTTAAGAATTGTTTTTTAATTTCTGTTTTAAATTGTATTGGGTCCAAATTCATTTATATGTACAAAGTTATATGCTATAATTGAAGGTCATTACCCAAATATCCTACCGGGTTTTTCCATATAATGAGTGAATTAAACAGTTGTTATTCAAATAATTTTAAAGACTATTTTTTTCTGGTAAATTTTACAATTTGTAATTAAATGGGAAACTTTTATTGACTCTGAGTGCTTGTGAGTCAAGATGTTTAGATTCAGAAGAGATCACCTTTAAAATAGGTTTTCTCAGGATCTGTGCTGTTTATTGTTATTTTTTAATGAGCTTCTCATAGACTTTTTATAATCACAATGGCTTCTAGTTTTATATAAATCATCATTGTGTTAAGTACTGAAAAGAAAATTCTTGAAAGTGACAAGTCTGAAGACCTTCAGGTTTCCTGGCACACTGGTGGGATCATCCTTCCTGTTCCGTATTTGTTCAGGAAAGAAATTTATCTTTTAGTGTGGGGAATACTTGTTTGATTTTAAAGGCATAATCCATTCTTGTTTGCTAACATAGAGTAGCTCCATTTTTTGTAAAAATAGAAGTTACCAATTTCTTTTTTTAAAAAACTTACATCAATTTGGAAAGGCATTTTTAGTCTTTACTTGGGAGGACCCTGCGCCAAAACATACCCTGTTTGGTAGAGTGCCTCAAAGTTGGCCAGGAAGGGTACACTGGCTGATTGTGTATCACCGCACCGTCGCTCTCAAACATTCTGGTCTTAGGACAATAGCTCTTGAAAACTGCCGAAGATCCCCAAAAAGCGTTTTTCCTTTTATTCTTATTTTGAATGAAACTTGTATCTTTTTGGAATTTATTGCATTAAAGGCCAATACTGACATATTTTTGAAGTATGTTTATTCATTTATATGTGACCATTATCCATTACTTACTAACATAGAAACATTTTAATGAGAAATATTTTTCATAGCTCAACAGCAAATACGAGTCCCTGAGTTCAAACTCGAGTACCTCCCCCCAGAAAAAGAAAACCATGAAAACTAAGGAATACTACAGGATTATTGTTTATAATTTATACCTCTTTTTTTAAATATCTGACTTCATAGAGATTTTCATATGCTGCATTCTTTCCATGTTACACAGCATGAAAGCACTGGAAAACCAAATGTTGCTCTGTGAAATTGAGTGTGAAAAGGGCATGTGACATCTTAGAATTACTGTGAAAATACTTTTGACCTTAATCTTAAGCTCTTCAGAAATCCTCAGACCATACTGGAGAAAACTGTCTTTTAAATGTGCATGTTTCAGGAATAGTAATTACCTGTGTGTAAACATTACTACTTCCTAATCTCTAAGTTTTTTGTTTGTTTGCTTGGAGAAGCCCAGATTCTCAGCCTTCTTTAGATTAATATTTCAGAGTAATAATAGTAGAGGTATATGGGTGTGATATACTAGGCATTTACTTAAGTGCTCCTTATTGTTTCATACAGTCTTTAAAGAAGTTCTACAAAGTGTACAGAAGTTAAGGAAGTAGTAAAAAGTACCTCAACGTACTGTTGGATTAAAAGTGCTATGTAAAGAAAATGCTTGAAGCTGGGCATCAATGGCTCACGCCTGTCATCCTAGCTACTCAGGAGGTTGAGATCTGAGGACCACTGTTCAAAGTCTGACCAGGCAGGAAAGTTGAGAGACTCTTTATCCTCTAGTAAGCTACTCAGAAGAAGCTGGAAGTGGCACTGTGGCTCAAGTGGTATTGTGCTAACCTTGAGCAAAGAAGTTCAGAGACAGAGCCCAGGCTGAGTTCAAGTCCTAAGACCTGCCAAAAAAAAAAAAAAAAAAAGGCCTGGCACTGGTGGCTCCTGCCTGTAATCCTAGCCACTTGGAGCTGAGAGAGCTGAGGATCCTTGTGGTTCAAAACCAGCCTGGACAGGAAATTCCAGAAGACTTATCTCCAATTAACCACCCAAAAACCAAAAGTGGAGCTGTGGCTCAAAGCCTTGAACACAAAAGCTCAGGGACAGTGCCTAGACCCTTGAGTTCAAGCCCCACAGCCAACAAAAAAAGGAAAAAGCAAATCGCTTGGTGTCCTGTATATTTAAAATATTTAAATTATTCAATTTTTAGTTATGGTTTTCTTTCATAATGAAATCAGCATAGGCTGTATTCTCTGGAGTTTTGTTTAAATGTCAGGGTAAGCAGTGAAGCATGATTGAAAATGAAGCCATCTGAAGGATCACTGGCTTCTCTTAGGTGACATATTTCACCTTCATTGAGATGTGATGCCCTTGACAAGTTTTATAACTTGACTTTTACAAGTTGATTATACTGTTGCATTGAACTCATCTGCATTAGTTAATCTTTGCTCAGTTATTAGACATTGGTCATTAGTTAAGAATCTTTTGTGGTGGTATTTGAGCAAATGAACACTAATCCAGTGTTGACTGGTCAATTTTTCCCAGTCCATTTCTTGAAGAAAGCCTGATTTCTGGTGCTTTCTGATACATGCGATGTGACTACTCGCACTGTGGCTGATTGGAACTACAGTCTGATGTCATGAAATGCAGAGTGAAAGAGAACAGAGCCGTGGTCACGCCTCCCGTGTCTGCCTCAGCACAGCACAGAACGTAATCCACAGCCCACTGTGCTCTCAGTAAATCCATCTGTTTCTTTTTTACTATAGCTGTTTTTTTAAATAGCTTTTTGCTTTGTATTATTACTAGCTTATTCAGCATATACTGGCTACTAGTTCATTTCTGGAAGTATACAAGGCACTGAGGTCTTTAATCTGGAAAGAACCGAGTGCTGTGGATTTGGTATTTTAAATTCCTAAATTTCACTAGTGAAAAGATTGTGTTTTCATGGCTTATGCTCTTAATACTGTTTGCAGTTTAGTTTGGTCAAGTATATGTTTTCATTTCCCTTAGCCTCAAACATTGAGATGCTCCCAAGACTTTGGACTCAGCAGTTCCTGAAAAGATAGTAAAGGTAGAAAGAGGTTTTTGCTATGGCATCTTTTGATTTTGGAGTCAGTTGGAGATAAAAATTCAATTTTTTATGACCTTTCCCAATAAAGACTTTTGTTAAGAAAGCATACTTAATAATTTCTTACATTCTCTTATGTTTATACCAATAATTAGAATTCAGTGTACATTTAAATGAAGTTTTGGTCTATCTGCTTGTCTGGCACACAAGACTGTGAGGTTTAATGAAAATAAAATGTTAAGATTCATGACTTGTAAAAAGCAAAAAGATAATGGATGAAATAAATAATTCTCAGTATTTTCCTTCATTCTTGAATGGAGGGGCAGAGAAAGGAGACATGCCCAGGAGCCTTCTCATTCTGACTCCAAGGTCTTTGATATAAACCACTCATGCATAGTGTTTCCTACATGCTGTGGTGGTTCAATCAAGTGTTTTAAAGATTTAAAGTTTTGTACATGTTCAAAGGAATCTATGCTTATGATTTTAGAAATTAGTACACACAGTATAAAGTATACCTCTATACATATATTTGATATACATTTATCAATCATCATATATACACACATGATTGTATGTGGCTGCCTCTGTGCTTGATTTTTCTT